CCCTTGTTGATATTTGCGCCTTTTTCATTACGCTGCGGCTCTCTATTATGGCAATCTTTTTTGATTAAAGAAAAGCATCCAATAGGCCTTCTCTGATGGCAACACCCATCTCTTGCTTTTACTGCTTTGGAATGAGTTTCCTGGATTGGTAAGTGGCTTTTACACCTCACACCCGATGAGTGTTACAACGTAGCTTACCGTTTCTTGATCGGTGAAATAAGTGAACTGACTGTTAGCAGCACGCAGGTGGTGGTGGCGATTTGCATTCCTGTTTTTAAAAACGAAAAAACTTTGAATGAGGCTGCTATGTTGTGCTCGTATGATAAGTCGTATTATATGATTTTTGCGTCCTGCTGAAAAAATAATCAAAGAGCGCGTGATTGAATTGTAAATGAGACCATTTTGTGGAAGTTTTAATACTCCGTTTTGGACAGCTAATATTGACTTTTGCTCATCTTTGTTTGAAGTACATGTTATGAGCAAAAGCACTTCTTTGCTTCGGAAAAGAATTGATGAAATAAAGAGGGTTTTAAGACGCATTGTTTTTTCCTGATAGTCATTTTATTTTTCATTTTTTTTTTCTGCTTTTATAGTCCTTGGAATAGTGTTACTCAAAAGATATGGAAAATGCTAGAAGCTCCATCAGTTGTTTATTTGATTGTATTCACTTAAAGTCACCTTTTTTTTTTTTTTTTTTTTTTTTTTCGCCATCTATTTTTTTTTTTGGAGTTTAAAAAGATAATACAAGGTTTCACCTCAGCATATATATATATGTCCGTTGAGGCTGTTAAAAGGCAAATTCTTAATGCAATCAGCGTATTAAACATTCCATTGACCCGATTGCCGAGTGAGCAAAGGGTGGTTGAGGCATGCTCCGCCGCAAAACTTCTTCGAAATCGTGTTTTGAGAGAGCATACACGTGTAGAAGAAAATATCGAGGCTATTCGACAGAAAAGGCTTTATGATAACAGCGATAGTGATGATGAAAATGAGGAGTTCTCCGAATTTGAGAATACGGGATTTACTTCTGATCTTCAAAAACTTGCCCGACAAGATTTTATCTTTATAAGTGAAATGATGGTGATGGAAAACGTTGTGATTCCGCTCCTTTTGGCTCATGGGATGAATTTTAGTTCGACACTTTTACCGCAGCTGCTTAAATTGCTAACAGCGATGTTGTTGCCAGTTCCCTTCTATTCAATGGAGAGACCACGTCAGATGGATTTTGTTTGCCGTCTTATGGAACGATGCGGAACTGATGAATTTTTTACGCTTTTGATTCAGTCGGTAGCCCCAGTAGCCGAAAAACGCTCACAAGGTGTCATACAAAAGGAAGATGTGGTCTTGCTGGAGGTTGTTTTGAAAATGGTTACACTTTTCTTTACTGGACGAAAAGAGGCCATGTCAAATGTTATTGGTGCTTTTGCTCGAAATCATGGTATTGAACTTTTTTTGGTCATTATTAATCAAAACTATGCTCGGATCGAATCAAAAAGGAATTCAAGCAATGTGGAAGCTTTGGGAGAAGAGGTACACGCAAATTCTGAGAAAAAGAAATGCGATGATTCTGTTATTGTTTTTTTGGATGATCAAAATGAAGAGGAACCAGGAATTGTGGTGCTCGATGAAAATGTTGCGTTAGAAAGGCACGACAAAACAGCCGAATTTGGAAAAGAACTGGATGATGATGATGATTTTGTTGTTCAGCAGGTGGTGGTGGAGGAAGTTGAAGAAGGAGAAACAGAGGGTGAAAGCTTGGACAGTAGTGACTCTTCCACAGAGGAATCTGAGTCTGTTAGTAATCAATATAATGCTCGTATTATAGAACTCTTGGAATGTGATGAGCAACTTTGGAAATGGAATATGCACATAGTTACCGCCATGGCAGCCATTCTGCGTTCTACCAGCCCAGTGGAACTGGCACAACTTGTATTTGTGTCAAAGTTTCAGCAACACTCTTCACACCAAACTATGGGAATGTTTGAAAGTGGAAAAGGACTTCGGGAGTGTAAAAAAGAATTGGATCGATGGAGACAAGTAGCAAGGAGTTGTAACGGTGCTATCAGTTCAAATGGTTTACTTGTACGAGGCAAATCTTCACGTTTACAAGGAGAAATTGGGGTAATTGGTTGTACCTCAACGCTTCTTGGTTTAAGAAGTAAGGATCCATTGGAAAAGGTCCAAGATATAGATCTAAGAAAGAGGGGCCGTTTTATTAAAGGGATGTATGACGATTCTAACACAGCATGGATTCTCCCACTACCAATCAAAATACAACTTGCTCAACAGTGTCTTTCTTTTATTTGTCTTGGTTTTGAGCCCCTGAATATGATGGTGTGGAATCGACTAGCTCATACCATTACGAGTTTTGAAAGCATTGTCAGGGAACGCAATGAGTTGATATCAGGACACAAAAGCTCAGGCGAAGATATAGAAATCACTACCCATATTGACAAAGCAGTTTTGGAATCAGCACAAAACGTTTTAGATTACCTAAGCATATGTGCATCACTACTTCGTTATACACGAGAGGTGATCCGTCTAAATCGAGAAGAAAATGAAGCTCCATCTGATGATTTTCGTCGACAATGGCAAAGTATATCCAGTATTATTTCCCTTGATCATATTTGTCATGGCTTTGAATTGCTTCGCGTATTTTCAAGCTCTCCGGATTTTAGACGACGATTTGATGTGGTAATTGTGGTAAATTATCTAGCTGAACTCTTCATGACCCTGAACCATTTGATTGATGGCGATATTGTAAAAGATACAGCTGTTGTAGTTGCCGCACATGCTTTAGCTTCCTCCGTACTTTACAATGAAAAAAACATTACGCTAATCTTTGAGTCTATTTCGAGGTTCTCGGCCAGGGTTTTGCCACCAAATAAAGCTGGAATGATTGTATTATTGGTATACTCTGTTCTGACTCTCATGGAAAGATGCAGTTTTGGGGGACGTGTATTGTTCCCCAAATGTAAGAAGAAGAAGAATGAAGAAACTGTAATGTATGAAACAGAGGACAGAGGTACAGCAGAACTTTTAGAATCGAATAAAAGAATCCGCATAGATGGTTTGGATACCTTAGAGGAGTCAAATAACGGATCTGGAAATGAAGGAGATGCCATTACCAGAGTGAAAGGGAATGAAATTGCAATACAATCAACACCAGTTCCAATTTCTCTGGAAGATGTACATCTTTATCAAGGGGAAATAGTCTCACCTGACGGAGAGGGACGGGAAAATTCTTCGGAAAACGCATCATTTACCTCAAGTAGTCATGCCAATGTATCTAATTTGACTTCAGAGAGGGAGGTCAGTATAGGAGATTATTTTAAACGACTCGGCACTGTGAAAAACATGAGGCTTATACTTACTTCACTTCGTCATTGGAGAACAAACGATGTGGATCTAAACAATGGTCTAGTATATTTGATTCGCGCTTTTGTCCTTGAAGGGATGGGTACTATTTTCTTTAACGCTCCATTTCTTTTTGTGATGAGGGACATTTTGTCACATGGTCAGGATTTTCATAATGCATTACACAATGTGTGCGATCAAGTTGTTTATGATTTTTTTAATCCGTCTTTTGCAAAACTCCTTGATGAGAAAAGAAAGAATCGGTCCGACATGTCGCTTCCTTTTTTCGGAGGAGCACAGTCTTTTCTTGGATTTGAGGTCGCTCTGCGGTGCGTGCGCTCCCTTTTTAGTTTAAATTCCACGGATTACAGTATTCTGGAGGAAAAGGGTCTTCCCCATTTAACTGACTTCACAGTCATTCCATTGAAGGATGAAACTCAAAGCGACAAGGACGTGGTGCACGAGGAGTTCTCTTCTGCTCAGGTCTCACCTGTAAGGAAAAGCCGCCGAAAGAATAAGGTGTCTTTACCAGAAAATAGAAACGGTATAGAAGAAAATGAGAAGGTGTTTTCAGTTGACGTACCCATAGAAATTCCGATAGAATCACACTTTGATGAAAAGACCACCGAGGAGTTCCAAGTTTAATTATTATTATTATTATTATTATCTTGTGAACCCCTATGATATGACCACGCTTCTTAGGAATCAATGGACCGATAAAGAAAAGATGAATTTTTTTTATATATATTTTTTATTTTTGACATCCACTCACCCCCCTTTTCATCCCCATCTTGCGGGGGGGTCTTGCTGCTGGAAGACCCCAATTTCTACCATCTTGTAAGTAACAATATTTTAAATAATATCAAGGTGCAACGTGTCACGAGAGTGGCAATCCGAATATATATGTATTTACTTGGAGCAAAAATTGAGGATATGAATAACCCATTACCTCTTTTACCCCTGCTCCCTATCCTGTTGCCTGATTTCCTTAGATACCTTTAGGATCCAGCGAGCAGCCGAGAAGAATTTTTTTTTCCCATACATTTATTTTCTTTTGAAAGTTTATTCTTTGGTTGATTGCACTTGGCGGCAAGAGATGCCCCAGAAAAACGGCGGAGAAACACTCACGCCAGAGGAGCTGCAACTACGCGTCAAGCAGGGTCTACAAAAAAGAAAGAAATGTGCGCTGTGTCTTCAAGTGTTTTATGTGAATGAGTTACCTGGGGCTATCACCCATAAGTCTATACTTGAGCTGCGCCGAAAATGGGGCCTTGATGTGCGCCGAGGCGATCGGATGCCCCCGCCATCTCAATTATACAAGAGGGAAGAGTTATGTGTATTCTGTATGCAGTTCTTTGACTCAAGTGGAGCCGTGCAGGCACAACAACAATTACTAGCTTCTACACGTGGTGGAGTGCCAGCTCGCTTGGCTTTGCGTTAGAAGGGAATGGAATGATTGTTTCCAAAAGGGAGATGGTGGCAAAGCCATACACGGAATAAGCAACGACAAGGAGAATTGGCATTGTATTGAATGTATATGTACGCTCTTGTGAAAGGCAAAACACATACGCATTGAGGTGGCACTCATGATTTGAACATTATTAAATTTTAAATGTGGTTGTTTGCTATTATTTCACATCTTGTTAAAGTATTTTGTTTGTTTGTTTGAGCACATTGGGTGTGCTTTTTTTTTTTTTTTTTTTTTTTTGGCGAACGATAATTTAATAGCTGTTTGCCGCATCTTAGAAAGGGCTTATATTGGCATAACGGTTTTATTGATAATGCCCCAGCACGAACAGCAACCGTCTATAGTGTTACCACGTGCCGCATGGATGTGGAAACCCCGATCAAAGAGAGTTATCGAGCATAATCTTGGGGGTATTGCGGCCTCCTTCTTGGGTGCGCGAAATCTGGGTGCGCAGGAATGGAAACGGCGTTACGTGTTTGTTGAAGGAAACACCATCTGTTACGGAAAAAGTGTTGGCCGGCGAGAAAAGGTAATTCCACTGGAAGTTATCCGGGCTGCGAATTACGCCACACGCGATGTCCTTCTTGCCGCCAAGGCACCCAGTGCCAAAGCGCACTTTGGGTGGTTTATGTACATTAACGGTAAAGAGCTGCTCTTCTGTTGCGAGGACAACAGTGCACGGGAGGAGTGGGTCACATTTATCCTCGCCATGCTTCGGTTCATGAGCGGACTGGCGAATCCTGCGCCTCTCTCGGCAAGGGGTGAAGGAATTAAAACAATTTCTTCGTTAATTGCCATGCATAATGAAGAAAAACGGAAAGTCGCTGCAGAGGGTTCTCTAGCTACTCCTATAAACTCCTCAAACACAGTGAATCCATTGGGGTCAGATGGTCACACGGAGGCCTCTTCACGGCTCCTTGGAGAAAAGATGCCAAATGAATCAAAAACACTTGTAGGAAGCGAGGATGAAGAAGACACTGAAACGACGGGAAACCTACTTTCCTCTGGAAACATGGATGACATCGTCGATACTGTTATGAGCGATGAAGATGGGAATGCCACTCACGTCACACATTCTCCTCTTAGGACAGATGTGATACAAGGTGAGAATTCGGTAGACATGCACGCTCTTGTCCTGTTACCCATCGCCGGCCAGCGCTATTCACATATTGAGTACAAGCTAGAGTCTCTGGCAGAGCATTTTAAAGCCGGCGATAATGTTCAAAATGTTGTTTTTTCTCGATCTGTGGAAAAGATTGGAAAACGCGACACGGTGCAAGACCGGGATCTCTTCCTGACACCACAGTATTTGTACTTGTTTGCTCAAAACAAACTGACTGGTGGTGTTTATGCACGGTGTATTGAAACAAGCCAGATTACCGGTGTCATTGAGAGCACGGCAGAGGAAAATCTCTTGTCCATTATTATCCCGTTTTTTCACGATATTCTTATTCGGTTTCACAGGCAAAACTCACGTGTTGGTGGCACGGAGGCGGATGTTAAAATTCAGTTTATTGCACACTTGTATCAGATTCATTTGAATCATCAAACAGGACGACGTTTTCTTTTTCGTGAAGTAGAGAATATAAAGGCGGTCATACGGCGTAGTGTGGAGGAACCCCACCTGCCGCTGATGTCATACCCAGAAGACCGCATGCGGGTTGGGACAAACAAGGAACTTTTCCCATTGCTTCGGACCCACGCCGAGTCCGTTGTGTTTTGGTCCTCCATGGTCACGCGTGTGAAGGAAGATCGTCGCTTGCAGCTCCGCGCTCTTGCTATCACTGACGGAGCCATTTACCTTCTTAGTGATACATTAGTCAAAGTCACTCGTCGTATTCCGCTAGTGGACGTACAAGATGTGCAATTTGACAGAGACTCGCAGACGATTCTTCTTCATTGCACAGAGATAGACGCCCTTTTTACGGTTCAGTCTAGTACGGAGTTTATACGTATTATTGCCTTGGTACCAGAAGTGGTTATGCAGTGCTGCGGCGTTAAAATGGCCGCCACCGCGTCGAAGCACTTGTACTCCAATGTTCGACTTGGAGAGGTGGGGAAACTGAAGGACTCACTCGGTTTTTCATCGCCTACTGCTAACTTCATGCGGCACATGAATCTGCCTTCGCGGGTGTTGTCATCCATGCATCCAGTGCGTTTCAAGACGTACTTTGGCAAGCAACAACAAATTGAAGGCACCGAGGCAGCCGGAGTCCATAACACGGATGGCGTACGAGAAATGCTCTTCAGGAAGAGACCCGGAAGTCGCGCCTACTTGGCACGCTATCGCTTTGTCGAGGAACTTATTGTGAATTTTGAGGAAGAGTTAAACATACTTTCAAACACTCCATCTTTCTCGGCGGATGGATTGGCTCTTAATGGAGCCCTCTCAACGGACTTTGACTTGGGGCCGATCCATTATTCCTCAATGTGTATTCAGCTAGACGTGAAGTCAATTTCTACCGGCATCATATTAAACGGCAGAGTGTTAAGTAAAAATGGTAGTCGGCGCGTCGTTTGCGTATCCGCAAGAGGGATTTTATTGCTGCATTACAATGACGAATTGGGAAAGCTGCGTAAAGCCTTTAAGGGACTACTGCTGGGCCGGAAAGGCACGAGTGGCTCAGATGCGATGCCAACCGATAGCTTTGGTACAAATGATCCTCGAGTTGTTGTATTCCTTTCATGGCCTGATGTTGTCGGCCTTGTCCGATGTTATCCGGGGCATGGGACCGTTATCGGCATTATGACCGGTTCTGGTCACTCATGCGACTATATGCTGGATGTTGAAAATGACCTTAATGTAGACACCTTCCTCCGTTGCTCTGCAGGGAGTTACGTTCAACAGAACCGCCGTTCCCTACACTCCTATGAGGTGCTCTCACTTTTCACCGCCCCTCACGTTGAGAATGTGCGTAATGCGTTGAAAACCACCGTATTTGACCCGAGGCCCACCATTGCACTTCGGCGCCCAATAAAATACTATGTGAGCGATGAGCTACATCTTGCAGTTGTGCCCGATATTGCGGAAGCTTGTCGTCGATTTGGGGACAATACGATTTACTTTTCAGGTGTGGCATGGCGCTACCGGGCCGCCGCACTCACCAAGAAGAAGAAGAAGGAAAAAATGACAGGGCTGGAAACGAGGGATGTGAATTCATCCACTTGGGCAACACACAAGTCTTTCATCATTGTGATCACAAACTGTGCTATTTACTGGTGCACAGATGGCGGTTTTGAGATCTTACGGCGCACAGAGCTGCTCGCACTGAAAGAAGTGTATTTGAGCCCCGCAGAGCCGGATGCTTTGTTGATCACGGTTCCAAAGGAGTACGACATGTACTTTTGCATCGACGGTCGAGGAAAAGAGTTCCTTGCCCAGCTGCAAGAAGCGTACGCGGCGTGGACAGATTATCATCGATGCCTTCCCCACGAACCACGGGGTTGTTGTCACAATCTTCCCTATGCTGGGCTACCAACAAAGGTTGTGTCCTGTCTTGCTTCCATGGGCCGATTGAAAAAGCCACCTCACTTTGACGAGATGCAAGTAAACCGCAGTGCGGAAGAAACGAGGGCAAGGATAGAGCTCCTGCAGCGCCGTTACCTTGCGGCTGCCATCTCCAAGCACGAGGTTGCCTTGGAGACGGCATCCAAGCGACAACTCTCAGGGGGAAGGAATGAAAATCCCGCGGATGCAGGCAGAGTCTCGTGGGCTAAGGTGTACAAGAGCCTCAATGCCACAAGGACGATACTGGAATTTGCACACAGGAGGGCCTATTTGTTTTCTCTTCGAAGTAGCACGCATCAAGAGATGGAGCAAGCACAAATGCTTCTATATGAGTTTAACACCATGAAGGATCTCGTGGAAAGGATGAAGCAGGCGACGAGTACTGAAGATTTAGCCATGTATGAGGCGGCGGCGGAAGAAGCAAAGAAATATCCTCCACTCCTACACTTTTTGGAAGAACACCGCGAGGTGCATGAAAGGCTGACAAAAAGGAGTGTTGTTCTTGAGAATATTACTGGAGTCATCAATAATGAAATGCATCCGTCATTAAAAGAGGTGGAGGAAAAACTTCAGACGTTGTTTGTAGCAGCGATGGAGAGCGGTGTTCCGTCCAACGTTTTGGACGAGCTGCGCCGTCGCGTGGATCTTCGAGCTCAGCAAGAGCAGTTTACGGCCCAGTTGCAAATGCACGAAATGGCCGTTTCCGCCGGAGGTGAAATAAAACCGCCCGAAAGGGTATTGCTGCTGCTGACCGAGGCGGCTCGTCAACTTGAAATCCCCGTTTCAGCTGTCGAAACGGCGCTTCTGGGAGTTCCACCTGCTTTAGCTCGCGGTGAGGGCAGAAAGCAGGCGCAACAGGTACAGTTGCAACAGCAACAACTGGAGCAGGATATGAGAAAGGTGATTCTGGCGACATGTGATGCTATTGATGTGGCGGTATACTTGGGCAATGTCGCTCTGCTTCAAGATGTGTTGCGGTTTGCGGAGAAATATGCCTTTGATGATGTGAAAAAACGGGTCCAGTGGGGGTGGGAGCAGATCGCCATGCGTCGCGAGCACCGGGCAAACCATCACATGCCACATCGTCTCATCCAGCATATCGTCACTCGCCGAGCCTCCCAGGATTGGAGCGCCGAAGAGGTCCGCGAGTTGCGTGACGCATGTAAAGAGGCGCTGGAGCATCTACCCATGGATGTCCCATTAATGCAGCGGGATTGTCAACTGATGCAGTTACAACTACGCCTTCTCGAAGAAGAGGAGCACCGTCTCATTTTGCGGGACTCTTTACAGAAGCAGGCTAAAAAGGACTGGGACCGCTACAAGGAAGAGTTGCAAAAAAAGGAGGAGGATGAAAGAAATGCCACACAAGAGCGGGAACGTCGGCAGGCGGAAGTGATTGGACGGCGACGTATGGAATACTTGTCAATCTGGCAGTGTCGTACACAAAAGTTGTGTGCATCACTACGTGAGAGTATCCGTTTGAGTAATGTAGCGGATGTGCGGAGGTGCATACGGCAGTGTATCTTTTTTCAAGAGGAAATCCATGATGGGCTTTTAAACTACAAGTGTCGTATTTATGAACGAGAAGTGCAGCAGATGAGAGAGGAAATTCTTGCCGATCTCAAGACGGCTGCAACGCGTGGTCAAGCATTTCTGATAGGCCATGAAAGAGAGAATCAAATGCATACCCCCAATGCCTCCATTAATAGCAGCGCAGAAGCAGCTGTTACCGAAAACGTGGAAGGTGAAGAGGTGGGAGAAGGAGGGATGGCAGAGAGTGCGGTACCACCAGAACTGTTGGTGTTGATCGAGGCGTATAAACCGAAGGAACTGGTGGAGTATGTGCGCTCTCACGCATCTGAGCTGACGGCAGAAGCCATTTTCCAAATAAAAGAGCTATGGTCAGCGTCTCGCGAACGGCATCAGTGGGTTGATAAACTGCATCGTGCCATTCACACAGCTTTTGCGTTAAAAAATCATGAGTTGCTTCAGACGCAAATCGATTTGGCAAAGTCGGCTGGTTACATGGATGAAGTTGTAGAAGGCGCCATTGAAGTTGTCTCAGCGATGGGTGCTCAACAAAATACGACGTCAAGATCCGGGAGTGGTAGCAGGAGTAGTTCTCCTGATGTGAAATTGAACGAGGCACATGATGAGGCGTCTAGTGTGTTTAATCTTTCTCGCACGTATGACGCTCGCTCAAGTGATGCAGCGGAACGTGTCATGGGGCAACTGCACTACACAACCCTGGAGTTACTTCTGCCTATTGAAAAGGTTTCTTTCGTGTCGGGTGCCCGGTTGCAGGAGAAGCGTCAAAAACAAATGATGGATATTGTCCAGTTATGGCATGAAGTGTTTCATCATCGTTTAAAGCCGTTAGGAAGTGTGTTCCGCCGGAGAGAACGTGACTGTTTTGACTTTCTACAATTTGTCAGTCAATACAACGTTTCAGGGGATTATCTAGCCCCCTATATAAACCGTCTGTTGAGCGATTTTGAGCGTGTCAAGAAGTACAACGTCACCCAAGGGCGGAGCAGCAGCTTCCTTTTCATTGCATACATGTTCCAAAGGAAGCTATTTGAGCGTATCGTGTATGAGATTGCCCAGCTTGGGCCAAAGGTGCGAAACGAGGTTCTCTTTGAGGATGCGTTGCTCAACAAAAGCATCTGTGATTTGTTGGTGCTGGCTCGTATGGGGGAACAGATGGAGTGGCCGTTGATGGTGATTGAGGCCCCGGATGGGTCCGCCGCGCATAACAACAACTTGTTGACGCTGATGCTTGGCGTTGAGGAGTTTGTTGCGGATGGAAAGCAACAGGACATGTGCGATGTGTCTCGAGCGGCGGCCATGCGAAATTGCGCGAATTTGCTGCGATCCGCTACTCGTGTCTTATCGAACTACTTTGCGAGGGGGCTTGCAACACTGGGTGTTTGTCCCTCCGTGAAGGATGCCCGTGCGCTATTCGACGAGGGGTTAAATAAAGAAATTGGTCTTATCGCACACGAGTACATTATTCCCGCCGCGATGGCTCTTCTTCACGCAGGGTTTCGCCCCACATACCATCTTGTACGCACCCGCCGTGTGTGGGATGCCGTGTTGGAGTTTGGTGAGAGTCTGCAGCAGGGCTCCAGGAAGCTGAGTGGCATGTCTGTTTTTGGCGTTATCCAACTCGTGGAGGCCCTCACAGACGTGACGGGTCGAAAGCGCACGGCACTTTTGCGTCTTAGTGAAGATGAACTGGCAAACATGCGGCTACAGATGTTTTTAACTGAATGTCTAAATCGCAATGTGCTTGCCGCCTTCTTGCAGATATTCTTTCAGAGCGAGGAGGGCACAACCTGCTGGGCGAACGAAGACGGGGTGTGGAATTTCTACGAGCGCGATCGCACTGTGTGCTACCCGCCGGAGGATGAGGGAACGAAGGAGCTGATGGAGGTTGTTACCCGGCTTTCAGAGTTGCCGTTTGTTTTGGTTGTTGATCGAGATCTGTGGTAAACCATTGTAAGTGAGTATGAGTATGAGTATGAGTAAGTGAGTTTTTACCGTGCACTGTTGTTGTGTTTATTTGGTTGAAAATATCGCATTGTTTCAATACTTTTGAGATTTCCTTTTTGAACTTTTTATTTATTTATTTTTTCTCTCTCTTTCTCTCTCGGTCTTTTTTTTTTTTTTTTTTTTCATCACGTATTTTTTTTTTATGGATTGCTTTCTGTTTTACATGGATGCAGCGTGTGATGGGTGTGGGCCGTGGGACGCATAACTGAGGAGTGTATGATACGAGAATGGGCCATGTCGTCTGTATTCTCTTTGCTGGACAAGGAAAAGCCCGCATCCTCGGGAGTGTGGTCGGGGCAGAAGCAGCAGCAGGAGGCACGCCCACTTTTATGGAGTCGTCATGGTGACGGTGTACGGCCAGCGGTGAAAACGAATGTGTCGCGTCACGAAACCGGAAAAAACGTCGGTCTCAATGAAAGCCATTCCGTTTTTGGCGGTGGTGGCTCCAGTATGGCCTCCTGCAGTCTTCTCAGTCATATCCTGCACCGGATGCTGCGTGAGGCGGATGGCATTGCAACAGATGAGGTTCTGGCCGTGGCTCGAACAATAGAAAAGACTTATCTGCACAAGAAGGAATTTGCAAACACAGATGCCGGGATGGGTGTTGGCGTACATGATGGCGGTGGCGGATTGCTGGGGCAGTTGATTCAAGAACAGTTGATGCTGATCAGGCAGAAAAAGCGAGCCGCAGGAGCCGTTATGGTTGACGACACACACCGTCGTGGTCGTGACGTAGAAAGTCTTGCGGGCCATCTTTTAATGCCCTCACCTTCTCTTTCATCAAACAACTTGCCGCGGCCCAACTTTGCCACGTACGACGAAATGCGACATTTAGAAGTCCAGAAAGATTCATCTCTTCCCTGCCGCACTGCCTTCACACCCGCGGCACTCACCGCAGTACCCGTGTTGCGTCCCGTTCCTGCTTCTCGTGCGTTGTATCCCGTCGTTGTGATGACTACACCCACATTTTCTTTGGAGTGCCAAAAAGTAAGTGTTTTTGTAACGATTGAACAAGACATATTTTACGGCATCGGCGTCTTGCGTTGCATGGCACCGGAGTCATATCGTCATGGTGGCGCCGGTTTTCCACTTGCACGGCAGCCATTCCGTTGGTTTCTTGCAAGGGCAGCAGAATTGGAGCATATCCCACGCAATACGCCTTTGATATCCTCGCGCTCCTCTGCGCCCCCGTTCGTGTGTGAAAGCCTTCTTGAGCAGTGGATGCAACAAGACGGGGGTGACACTTTTGTCCCTCTGGATTCTCTCATTGCCATTGGCGTTGCGTCCTCACGCGTCCTGTCGTCGAGCCCGCCCATCATGATTGGTCTCGAAATTGATTTGAACCCGGACCACGACTTGGATCACATGCAGGCGGTGGAGGCGACGCTCCTGCAACGTTACTGGACCCTTCGCAGAAAGGAGTCAAGCGGCTTTTCGATGAGCCACGCATGCCTGGAGGAGGGTGTGCCGTATGTGGTTGGTGTGGAGGTGTACTTTGGTGATGGCATCGAGGATGATGATAGCGCGGAGACGTGGGTGGCGGTCCTACGCGACTTTGTGATTCCGAAAGGGAGTCACACGGGTCGAACCGAAAGGGAGCTTCGCAACCTCTTGGTTCCTCCGCAACGTCGCTTTTGAAGGAATGAAAGTCGGCACATATATATATATGTATGTGTGTGTGATTTTCTTTTTTTTTCTCTCCCTCTCTGTCTGTCTGTGTTTATTTGCCTGTTTTCTGCTCGGTGCCGTTTGAATCACTAGGCACATTTTTCTTTTTTTTTTTTTTTTTGTGTGTGTGTGCGTGTGCGTGTGTTTGTTTTTTCTTCTTTTCTTGTTGAGCGGACCAGGCAGGGGGGAGGGGAGAAAAATATTTCCAAAAGAAAAGAGAGACTCCAAGGAAAGAGCGTGCATCCAATGCTGCTGGGAACATGTATTCGGTGGAGCAAGCGAACCCCCGGGTATGTCTTTTGGCGTCAGAACACACTCGTCGAGCTGGAGAAGACAAAGCGTAACTACCTGCTCACCGAGCGTCCGGTTCCAATCGCCGATATTGCACGCCGTATGGTGCGGGTGAAGTCACGCTACCTTGACACGAAGGACTTCCACGAGCAGAACCTCCTGCGTGGGGAATACAAATACTTTTCCGGAAAACTCTGTGACGTTCGCCACGCACGAACAGAGGACATGGTCGCCTACGTGGAGTGCGGCTCCTTCTTTGGCTTTTGGGACACTGCCCAGATGAATCGCGTGATGGATGAGCTGCTGCTAAAGCTCAATGAGCTTGGTTCAGTTGAACTTGTGCACCTCTTCACATCGCTCCCATCACTGCGGAAACAAAGCAGCAACTTGTACGAATACGTGGCCCGCGCCCTAGTTGCCGTCGTGCCGGAACTCTCTCTGGATGAATGCATCCGGGTTGCGGTCGCGTGTGATGATGGGGTGCCTGAGGAACTCATATATAATTTGATGCGGGCAATTGAACCGGAGGTTTCACGCGGTGGTCTTAGTGCAGTTCGTGCCGTGGAGCTCATAGATGCCTTTGGAACATGTCTACCGTCGGTTCAACGAGAGTTTGATTCGTTATTTGACAATATGAAACGGACTGCGGTCGCGGGAATGATGGAGTTGAGTGTGATGGACATAGCGGTTCTGTGTACATCTCTGAAACTAAGAGAGGAACTGGATGCCTCTACAGAAACTAACGCTGTACGAGTGTTTCTTTCACGTTTAGAGGAAACGTGCGCGAGGTCTACATCAATGATGTTTACCGCTGTGAGTGGCACGCTTGCCTTCGCTCAGGCCATGGAGGAGCGAGTGGTGTTTCTCGCAACGGACTTTACACCGAGTGAGTTGCTCAGTGTGTTCAGTGTCTACATGGACAATTACACCTCCATGTACATTGTCACCAGTGGAGATGATGGAGTTGTGGCGCCCGCAACAAAGAAGTCATCCTCACAAAATTGCATTGGGGAGCTTCATTTTGCGCAACATCGTCAAACGACTTTTTTGCTTGTGTTGCGGGAGCTGATGGATCAGATGATCCTGCAGATGGAATCCGCCACCGCGTACTTTTTACCCGCCGTGCAACTACAGTACTTGGAGGTATTCAGTAAAGCCGTCGAAAACATTGGCAGTAACGTTTCACATTTGACGAGTGCCGTCCCTGTTTTGGGAAGATGTTTGGAACTTCTTTCATCGAGGGTCATTGCCTCGCTGCAGCGGTATACATACATGGAGCTTGTGGCACTGCTTCAACTCTGCGCTCCGTTGGGCAAGTTGGTGGCAGATGCTGCTGTTGGTGCGGCTGTGCAGGAACTCATTCAGCGGGAGGTGGGGACATCTAAAGAAGAGTCAATGGAGTTGTATTCGATGCTGCAGCGAGTGTCGGGGCTGCGTGCAGAACATCAGCGTCATATTGAGAACTTTCTGCTGCCAAAACTTCGTGAGCGTAGTGGTTGGGCAGGCTGATATTTCACATTGTGTTCTGCTTTGCAGCTGCGTAGTGCTGTGGATGGTTCCTTCTCTTGCTGTGTTTTTGTGTGGGTGAGTGAGAAGGTGGGGAGGGTGGGTGATACTTCTCAACAAAGAGCGTCTGTACACTTCATTGGTTGAATAAATTCAGTTTCCCTCCCTTTTCTCTTTTTTTTTTTTTTTTTGTTTTTTTAGCTTTTGCAGGTGGGTAGCTTTTTTTTATCAGCAGGAGCCCCTTGTGTGTGAGTGCGTCGGTCCCGTTAGAGTGAGAAAAACACATTCCCCAGCGAGGAACACGTGGAGAGGAGGACGGAAGAAAGAAAAAGGAGAGAGGGAGGGAGGTAGAAGAAGAGGGGATGCTCCGTCGTGTGCGACTGCTGCACTCTCCGATTGATGAGCTCACCATCACTGGGAGCTGCTGGTCGCGTCTTTTGGCGAGGGCCCTTCCAAAGACTCCGCCTGCACCATCGCCCATCAAATCGACGCCGTTCATCACACTCATCCCGACCCTCCACGTGGCATCCGTGGAGTTTTACGACAAGGTGCTAGATTACATGGTGCGGGCAGTGCAGGAGCGGGAGAATGTCGTCATTCTGCTGGAGGGCATATGCGATACAGAGGAGAGCGAGGCACAGCAGATGGGGGAGTACTTCAGCATCGCACGCAATGAGGAGCTGAAGGCGGCAATGCTGCAAAAGGCAGATCAAAACACCCTCTACGATGATGAGACGGTAAAAACCATCTGCGAGGAACTTGCCGTCAATTACGAGGTCCTCTTGAAGCAGCAGGCAACAGTGCGGCTGCAGGAGTGTTACCTCAAGCCGAAGATGGCGGCCCTTGTTGGCTCGTACCTCCGCAACGGCGCGGATCTCAACATGAGTGAAGTAAAGGCGATCCTGGCGGAAGAAGGCAACGGCAGCGGTGGCACCTTTTTTCCCTTCAGCCATCTTGGAGCAAACCCGGCAGTGCGCCAAAGTCGGGAGCGAAAAGTGGCGAGGGCGGCCCAATTGCGGTGCGTGGAGTGGATTCAACGGGGATGTGAGGGTGAAGTGATTCTACCGTGGGGTTTTTACCACGCGGAAGGAATTAAGCACAATATTTTTGCCACGAACGCACATGACGAAACTGTCGTGTTCCTGGAGAGCGATGATAAGTTGTGTCGTTTACCGTTTGGCATCACCAAAGAGCTTTTGGCCTGAAAAGTGTTCTCTTTTTGGCTTCTTCTTTTTCTCTTTTTCTGCCGTTGCTGCTCTTCTTCTTCTTCTTTTTTAATTTTGTCGTGATGCATGCAAAGTACATGACTTTTCTTTTTGTGTGTGCAAACCCTAAACTCACAAATTTCGTGGTAATTGCTCCCCATCCTCTCCTTCCTTCTTTTGTTTTTGTTTTTTGCTCTTAAAAGTTGTCGGAGCCTTTCTACCACCGGAATATAATTATTCTTGGCGCACATGATTTTTTCTCTTTCTTCTTTCTTTTTACTTTTCCCTTTCTTCCACTCTGGTTGTCACACCAACGCCGGTCTCTGCATGGAGGACGCAGTTTTAATAGATATACATATATATATATCTATACATATATAGATATACATATATATATATATCTACACAAGATATTCTTGTTCTTTTTAAATATATAGTTAGTAGATCACCTTGGACTTTCACTTGTTTCGCCTCATGGGACTGTGTTGCGGCAGGAGTGCGCTGCCAGTCGTGGACGACACAGGGCGGCAGCACCGCACCCTGCGGCCGAAGGTGTTTGTTACCCCTGTACCCACGTTAGAGTTTGACATTGTCGCTCCTGAGGGCAGCCCTAGTTTGGCGTTGAATATGACGAGAGTGAGTGGTGGTGGTGGTATTGGCAGCATTATTGGCGGTGCTGCATGCATGGATCAAAGTCTCCACACCGTGAGCGAATACAGCGTGAGTTCCCCTGACCCACAGGGCCAAAGCCTCTCCGGCACGCTTCGCGATGAGGCAAATCGGAGTTTTGTGACGAACGGGTTGAATGAAGTGCTGTCGGGCAACATTGACCAGTTTGTCACCGGCGTCTTGGAGATGACAACATCAGAGCCCGTCAACATCCTCGAGGAGAGTTTGTATGCCGCCTCCACATCCACACTTAGCCGCACACGCAACAGTCGTGGCATCCGCCAAGGGTTAGTCACCCACTCGCTCTCACGGGAACAGGTGCGATATTTGGATGCCGCATGTGACATGACAGAACGCATGGCACGCTTAGTAGAACTTGAACAAATGTCGCGTCAAGAGATATTTGGTGCGTGGAGAATGAACAGTGCACTTATGATCTTAGCAATGAAGCGCATTATGCCAACCATCCGGCGGTTTCGCGGGACCCCACGGACGAGGAGGCAAAAATCCGCTCAAGAGGTTCTCATTATACACGCCAGGGACATTGAGCTGCAAATGGATGAAGAAAAGGTAAAGGAAAATGGTGTTGCTCGCCCGGGGAAATTAAATCGCCGACATGAAAGCAGTGAACAAGGTCCCCTGTTTTCCCCCAGTGAAGAACAAGATATGAGTAAAAGGGGTCAACCAGTAGCGGAACACTATCAGATGTTGGCGCTTACAGCACGTGAGATTAGTATGACAGCTAGTGTTCAGGCACAAGTTGTAAATGACACATGGGATTTTCTTTCACTTCCTGAGGCTGCGAATCATCTCAACACGGGGAACGTATTCTTTAGGTTTCTCTGTGCTCCTGTGATGAACTTGGGGAGAGATAGTTTGTTTTTAATTGACACCTTCATTAACCTAAGCAGCTTTGCGGATGAAGTGCAGGAGAATAATGTACCTAAAATTGATATTTTTTCTCTGGAGGAGCAGGAGAAATATGTAACCATCCTTGTGAAGGTAATGTACCTTCTTCCTGGGGTTCGTCTGTCAAATCTGACGGCGGATCTGGTTGCCTCGTTAGACTACCAGCGTAACTGCCAACCAGGCATCAATAAATTTGAGGTTTCAGATGTACCCAACACTTTTCGTACAATAAAAACAGTGATCCGTTTTGTATTTAGCGTCACTATTCAAATGAAGGTGAGTGAGATTAATGACCCGGAGGTGCTAAATAGCTTCAAGGACGTGGATGGTATGATACCCGCAAAGGTACTGCTGCTTGAGAGAACCAAGAAGAATATTCATAAGATTGACTCCACTGTGAAGGTGCGTTCTGTGCTGTTGTACTACCCGGTGAATGATGGGGTGCTTGTGACGAACCAGACCATGTTGCTCAACAGCTCGCTCCCAGTCGTTGTCTCGTCGCTCATGCAGACATTTGGCTCTCAGGGTGCCACGGAAGCCGCCCAGACGGCGAAACTGACACGGCGGTATTTGATCCGCCGGTTTGGTGACTGTCGGTCGTAGATGTTTTTACCAATGTTCCTCTTTCTTTTTTTTTTTTTTTTTTTCTTTCTTTTTTCCTTGGCGAGAAGCTGTATAGGCATAGAGTGTTTGTGCTTTCGTGTTGTTGTTGTTGTTGTTGTAGTGTTTTCATGTTGTTGCTGTTTTTTATTTTTATTTTTGTTTTGTTTCTGTTTTCCTTGTTGTTTTTTTGTTTTGTTGTTTTTTTTTTTTTTTTTTCTTTCTTTCTTCTGTTGCCGTGCCTTTCCATCTTTCTTTCTTTCTTTCTTTCCTTTTTTTGTTGTTTTGTTTTTCCTCCACTTTTCGCACTGGCTGGTTATATTTGTTTGTTTGCGGCGGAGATTTCTCCCTAATAATGATGATAGGGACAATGCCTGAGTGGTGCCTGCTGCCTTCTGCTGCTGCTGCCTTCTGCTAATAATAATAATAATAATGAGGGAAAAGGGACGTGGTTGATGCGAGAAAAATGAGAAGAGGGAAGGAGAGCGCTGTGAAATCCATTCCATTTAGTTGATTATTCCCGTACATTTAAGCCGCGTGCGTGAAGCATTACATTCTACATGTCTGTTGAATAAGAACAAGAAGAAGAAGTTATATTCATCAGTCGTCACTGTCCTTTACTAGTTTTGCTGCGTTGGTCATGTGTTTCAGGGGATTGCCCGTTTTGGATCGGTTATAATATATATATATAGATGTATGTTTTTTTCTTTTTTTTTTTTTTGTGGTAGTTGCACTTACCGTGTCTGCGGGTGTCGCTGCCAGGCTTTTCCCCTGTTAGTTCACACACGTTTGCGTGCATGTACGTTTCCTACCGTCTTCTTCTTCTTCTTCTTATAATTATTTCACTGCCACACACACACACACGCACACAAACACGTGCAGCAAACGCCAACGGGTCTCGTGCCCTACCCACCCCCCAAGCAGTCTGTATTGTAAGCCGGGATTAACACCCGACATCGTAGAAAGGAACAGAACACGCAAGAAAAAATTTAACAAAAAACAACAACAACAACAACAACAACAGCAATAGAAAAGGGCGAAAAGTTTTGTAGAGGGTTTTTATCATTTTTATTGTTAATTTATTTATTTATTTTTACCCCTATCAATTGTTTTTTTTTTAAATACGTGTTTTTGTTGTGTTGGGTGAATTGATCACCGTTGAACCATCTTTCCGGCATCGTATCCAGACACAAAACAATCCCCTTACAACAGGAGGGAAGTATAATACTTTCATACGTGCATATCCACACATGGAGTTTAAGCGTACAAACTCGAGTCGCAGTGGGGCGATGTCGGGGCGCTCGGCGCCACCACGTCTGGCTACAACACCGCTGACACGTACCTCAACGTCCACACGCGCTTCGACACCCGGAAGAGTTATCACACCACGCAGTCAACGGAACGCGGCAGGTACGACCCCGACGGCGCAGAAGCCGCCACGGCCCACTGGCACGCAATCATCGACGCGTGGAACCCCCCCAGGACTTCCCCGCCCTGAGGGTTTTAAACGCATGGGTACCGGCGTTAGCCTCTCTTCTGCCGCCAACAACAACAACAACAACAACAACAACAGCAGCATCTCCAGCATCGGGAACACCACTGGCGGTGGAGCCAGCAGCCAGCTGCCTGTCCGTCACCTTTTGGGAAAAACCGGAGGAAATGGTCGAGTGAACGTATATGCGCGTGTGCGTGCCTCTGCCCCGAATGAAACCGCAGAAGATCAGCGGCAGTTGGCTGTACGCATGAAGGATAACACCGTTGATGTTTTGGTGCCGCAAAAAGGTTGTTTCACCTTTACTTTTGACGGAGCTTTTTGGAGCAATGAAAACGTCAGTGAAAAGCCTTTTTCCGACCAGGAAGATGTGTTTGAAGTGATTGGTAAACCTCTGGTTGAGAATGCATTGGCTGGGTACAACGCCGCCATCATGGCATACGGACAAACCGGCAGCGGCAAAACATACACGGCATTTGGTCCAGTCAGTTCCCTTGGCACCGCAGACGAGGGTCTCATTCCACGTGTCTGTGAAATGATCTTCGCACGTGCGGCAGCTAGCTCGCAGAAAGGCGTAACGTACCGCTTATGTGCATCCATGTTGGAGGTCTACCTTGAGGACGTATTTGACCTGCTGAATCATCGCAAGATGGTTGCCGTCCGCAATGACTACAGGGATAACTCCTTCCATGTTGTTGGTGCAAAGTACGTTCCTGTCCGAAGCTATGAGGAAGTCGCCGCTCTGTTGAGGAAGGCAGAACCGCTTCGCACGTTTGCTGCGACCGCCATTCACGACCGCTCCTCCCGCGCCCACACCCTCTTCCAGCTGGAGGTTCAGACCTCATTTGAGTCCACAGACATCGTCCCACGTGCCTCCAAGATTCTTCTTGCAGATCTTGCCGGCTCCGAGCGCATCAAAATCGCCCAAACAGAGACTGGTATACCGTTTGAGCAGGCACGCAATATCAATCTTTCACTTCTTGCCTTGGGCTCTTGTATTGAAGCTGTTGCTACACGAAAAGGATACAACCAAAATATTCCCGAGTTCCGCAACAGTACCCTGACAAAGCTACTCAAGGAGTATCTTGGTGGCAACAGTGTGTCGGCTATGGTAGTAACCATTGCCCCAAGTGCCCGTGACGCCCATCTCAGTGTACAAACGCTCCGCTTTGCTGATCGTGCAAAGCAAATGGCCACACACGCCAAGATCAACACCGTGACACCTCTTGATGCCACGGATGATGGCAAAGAGAATATTGACGGGGAGCTCGGTGACATGTATCTAAAGAAAAAAGAAGCACTTTACGCTGAATATAAGCTGCAACATACCATCGATCAGTTGCTGAAGAAGATCGCCATTCTTGAGGCGCAGCTTATGGAGGCCACAAATGAGGATCTGATTGCCCGCCTGCAGGAGGAAATTGAGGGCCTCCAGAAGTCTCTTACAGAGGCTGACACGCAGCTTCAGGAACAGCGGCGTCTCCTCTACCCCAACGAGGTCGTCCTGGAAGAGCAACTCAAGGAGTTGAACACAAGGATGCAGGAAATGAAGGAGGAACATGAGGAAGCCATGGAAAGCCTCATGACAGAGGACCTTCGAAAGTACAGCGAGAAAATGAGAGCAAACGAATCCAATTACGGTGAGAGAATAGCCTCCATGATGGATGCACACAGTAAGGAGGTGTCTCATTTGCAGCAACTGCTTGAAGAAGCCAATGCAAAAATTGAGAAACTCACAGCATCCTTGGCAGAAACAAACAAGGAGCTTCTTATAGCCGATGAACATCTTGAAGAAATGCAAACCGCGTTCAAAGAGCTTGAGGAAATGTCCACGGCCACGGAACTTAATCTAAATAACAAGATCAATCAGCAGCAGCTAGAAATTGCGGATCGTGAAGAGAAATTGGAAGAGCTGAACACCGTTTTAAAAGATCTCGAGGAACGCTATGCAAGTGACGCCCATGCTGCCGAGGGGAAGCAGGCAGAAATGCAGGGCCAGATCGAGCAGCTGGAAGTCGATGTGGCGGAGCGTGACCAGAAGCTTGAGGAGATGATGGCTGCGCAGAAGGACCTTGAGGATCGCTATGCAAGCGACGCCCATGCTGCCGAGGGGAAGCAGGCAGAAATGCAGGGCCAGATCGAGCAGCTGGAGGGCCAGATCGAGCAGCTGGAAGTCGATGTGGCGGAGCGTGACCAGAAGCTCGAGGAGATGATGGCTGCGCAGAAGGACCTTGAGGAACGCTATGCAAGCGACGCCCATGCTGCCGAGGGGAGGCAGGCAGAAATGCAGGGCCAGATCGAGCAGCTGGAGGGCCAGATCGAGCAGCTGGAAGTCGATGTGGCGGAGCGTGACCAGAAGCTCGAGGAGATGATGGCTGCGCAGAAGGACCTTGAGGAACGCTATGCAAGCGACGCCCATGCTGCCGAAGGGAAGCAGGCAGAAATGCAGGGCCAGATCGAGCAGCTGGAGGGCCAGATCGAGCAGCTGGAAGTCGATGTGGCGGAGCGTGACCAGAAGCTCGAGGAGATGATGGCTGCGCAGAAGGACCTTGAGGAACGCTATGCAAGCGACGCCCATGCTGCCGAGGGGAAGCAGGCAGAAATGCAGGGCCAGATCGAGCAGCTGGAAGTCGATGTGGCGGAGCGTGACCAGAAGCTCGAGGAGATGATGGCTGCGCAGAAGGACCTTGAGGAACGCTATGCAAGCGACGCCCATGCTGCCGAGGGGAAGCAGGCAGAAATGCAGGGCCAGATCGAGCAGCTGGAGGGCCAGATCGAGCAGCTGGAAGTCGATGTGGCGGAGCGTGACCAGAAGCTCGAGGAGATGATGGCTGCGCAGAAGGACCTTGAGGAACGCTATGCAAGCGACGCCCATGCTGCCGAGGGGAAGCAGGCAGAAATGCAGGGTCAGATTGAGCAGCTGGAAGTCGATGTGGCGGAGCGTGACCAGAAGCTCGAGGAGATGATGGCTGCGCAGAGGGACCTTGAGGAACGCTATGCAAGCGACGCCCATGCTGCCGAGGGGAAGCAGGCAGAAATGCAGGGCCAGATCGAGCAGCTGGAGGGCCAGATCGAGCAGCTGGAAGTCGATGTGGCGGAGCGTGACCAGAAGCTCGAGGAGATGATGGCTGCGCAGAAGGACCTTGAGGAACGCTATGCAAGCGACGCCCATGCTGCCGAGGGGAAGCAGGCAGAAATGCAGGGCCAGATTGAGCAGCTGGAGGAGAGAGCTGCGCAGAGGGACGAGGAACGCTATGCAAGCGACGCCCATGCTGCGAGGGGAAGCAGGCAGAAATGCAGGGCCAGATCGAGCAGCTGGAGGGCCAGATTGAGCAGCTGGAAGTCGATGTGGCGGAGCGTGACCAGAAGCTCGAGGAGATGATGGCTGCGCAGAAGGACCTTGAGGAACGCTATGCAAGCGATGCCCATGCTGCCGAGGGGAAGCAGGCAGAAATGCAGGGCCAGATCGAGCAGCTGGAGGGTCAGATTGAGCAGCTGGAAGTCGATGTGGCGGAGCGTGACCAGAAGCTCGAGGAGATGATGGCTGCGCAGAAGGACCTTGAGGAACGCTATGCAAGCGACGCCCATGCTGCCGAGGGGAAGCAGGCAGAAATGCAGGGCCAGATCGAGCAGCTGGAAGTCGATGTGGCGGAGCGTGACCAGAAGCTCGAGGAGATGATGGCTGCGCAGAGGGACCTTGAGGAACGCTATGCAAGCGACGCCCATGCTGCCGAGGGGAGGCAGGCAGAAATGCAGGGCCAGATCGAGCAGCTGCAGGCTGATCTCAGCGAGATGCAAGCCGCCTATGAAAATGCTGAAATTGAGCATGAAGGGGCCATTTGCGTTCTCAATAATTTTGTGGCGGAGCGTGATCATGAGCTCGAGGAGATGATGGCCGCGCAGAAGGAGCTTGAGGTACGGCATGAAAGCGACCTGCGGGCAGCTGAGGAGAGGCAGAGCGAGATGCAAGACCGGATCGAGCAGCTGAAATATGATTTGGCTGAGGGCGAAAGGAGGCTTGACGAGATGATGACTGCGCAGAGGGAGCTTGAGGAACGCTATTCAAGCGATATGCGGGCTGCTGAGAAGAAACAAACGGAGCTTCAGAGTCAGTTGGAAGAATTAGAGTATGAACTGCAAGCCACTGAGAAGCAGTTGCAGGGAGAAATTGCTGCGTACGAAGCAGAGCTTGATGATTGGCGCGGCAAACTTGACGCGGAGCAGCGCCAGAGCGAGGAGCAGTCTGTCCTGCTTGGGAACCGCATAAAAAAGCTCAACGATGAATTGGGAGAAGCCAACGGTCGCATTGAAGATTTGAGGCACTACCTGATGGGTGTCGAAAGGTACACCCGTGGCGCGTATGAGGCAACGTTAGAGGGAATTGGAACGAAGCAGCGAGAAGGGCTGGAGGAGCTCAGCCTTCGGATGAGCGCCAGCATGGCGGAATACGCCGAGACCACGGCGGCAAGACTGCAGCTGGTGACGACGGTTGAGGATCTGCAGCGGATTTTGGAGGAGACGAAGCGCCAGGCTAACAAAGAAATTGCTGAACTGCACAAGATGCTGAGGGAATCAAGGTCTGCCGGCCGCAGCCGTTTGGAGGCTGTCATGGCGCTTGTGCAGTCCGCACAGGGTGCGCTTGCTCAGGCGGTGGAGACTGACGAAGTGTATGGTGATGGGACGCCACGCTCTGGATCAGCGGAGCGTAGCCGTGGCGTTTCCATTGCACTTGGCGACTGCTCGAACAAGGAAAATGATGTGAAGCGTGGCAGTTCACGGCCAATGGTGACTCACAACAACAATAGTGTGTGAGCGATCTGTTGATTTTGGCTCCCCACGTGGAGGAGTGTGACGGCGGAAAGGGGGCCTACAAGGATACCATCCGCCCTGCGACATGTGTCATTCTCTGAATTTGCCGCGGAAAAATATAAAAAACAAAACTTCTTTGTTGTTGTTTTTCTCTCTGTGTATGCGCCATTTTTTTTTTTTTTTTTTTTTTTTTTTTTTTTTTTTTTTTTAGGGGAGCAACCACAACATATAGAAGAATATGGTGTTTCTTCCTGACCTTTTGCTCAAAAAAAGAAGAAACGGCTAGATATTGTATTTTTTCTTGTTTTGTTTTGTTTTGTTAGAGCAGCCCTTCTTTTTATACATTTTTCTGAGTCTAAAACAGAAAAAGCCTTTGCCTTTTTTTTTTTCTTTTTTCGGGGGCCCCATGCCTGGATTTTAGTCCGTCTTTGCAGGCTTGCAATGGGGGAGGCTTAGCATGCGGCGGTACGGCTGGGGGGGGTTCCTTTTGTGGTTTTTTTTTTTTTTTCTGACCTTTTGGACAGTACAATGCGGCAGAGTCTTGACGGCGAAGTGAAGCACATGGCGCGGCAGGTCACCACAAGGACTGCGGGAGAAAAATCAGCAACGGGAGGGAACACGTGGCAGCAAGCGCGACGATGTGATTGGTTGTGGCCACGAGTCATCTAGCCATGGAGGAGGAAAAACTTCGTTTGAGCGGGCCTTTAAAAAAAATTTTTTTTTTTCTCTCTCTCCCTCCCTCCTGCGCATTTAATACTCAGTCGACGCTCTTTACCTCGGCGGACTCTTTTCTTTTTTGTATTTATTACTTTTTCCTTTTGGGGCTGTGGCTCCTGCCATTGTCTCCTCGTACAATAATCGATGCGAAGTCCAAGGGCACGCAAGTGGATTGCATGCGGCTGTGTGGTTTGCTTCGTCATCCGGCGTTGAATTGCACGACTGTCCATTACGCCCATCACAGCGAGACTTCGAGGAAGAAGATGATGAGGAGGAGAGAACAAAAGAGGCGTGCGTCCCGTGACACCGTAAGTCTCCGTGATTCGGTCGGCATGTTGATTCCCGAGGCCTGCCTGCGCCGCGATCGACTGTCGCCCGACGCCTTGGATCGCTCCGTTGAGGAGAAGGCGCGTGAGATTCTTGGTCTTGGCGCGGACTCCGCACATGCGTGGGGTCCGTACGGCGCGCAATTTGACAGGCGTGACATCCGCTTTCAAGGGAAGAACGGCGACATGCGTCAATTTGCGGAGATGGCAACGAGGGCTGCATCGATGGAGAAGTGGAGGGGCATGTCGCCGCAAGGCGATGCATTGCTGAAAGACGCCGTTGGAGAGGGACGAGTGCGTCCTACTGCCGTTATTACAGCCATTATCGTCTTTACACGTGTGTGTGTGTGTGTGCTGTAACGTACCTGTATCCAATTTTTTTTTGTTTTTTTGTTGTTATTATCTTATTTTTATTTATTTATTTTTTTTTTTTTTTTTCTTGGAAACGAGCAGCCGCGCGGCCCCTGTCCTCCTTCCGTGTTCTGCTGCTTGTCCCATTGCCACTGGGCAGGCAGGCAGGGAAGGGATAGAGGAGGGCGTGGGGGGGAGGAGAAATACGGCGAGGGTCGGAGGCAAAAAACCAAATTAACCGAAGCAGGAGCCAAACAACTGAACCGTAAAAGACATTTGAGTTTTAAATAAACATATATATATGTATATTTCAAAAATAAATAAATAAATAAGACGGGGAAATGAGTTGATTGGACGCGTGATGATAGTGGACGGATGCAATGCGTGCACACACATACATACACAGATAGATATATATATATATGTGTGTGATTGTTTCTTCCCGACCTTTTACTCATTGCACAAACAAGAAGAAAAAGGGGAAGAAAAAAAAAAAAAAGAAGAAACGGTTAGATATCTGTATTTCATATTTCTTGTTTTGTTTTGTTTTGTTTTGTTTTGATAGAGCAGCCCTTCTTTTTATATACGTTTTCTGAGCATTTGAAGTTTTGTTCCACTTTACTGCGAAAAACAACAACAAAGAAGAAAAAAAAAAACGTTGGCTGTACGCATGCTTTTTGTGCTTCTCTCTTTTTTTTTTTTTTTTTTTTTTTTTTTTTTTCTTTTATGCTTCGTTTGCAGCGCACGCCGCTCTTTTTGTACGTGTGGGTGTAATTGTCATGCCTTGTAATTTTAACCATCGTGTCCGTCGCGACATTTGCAGGCGCTGACATTGCAATGGATGGGTATGGCGCTTATGCGTGCTGCGGCTACGGCTGGGGGTGGGGTAGGGGGAGGAAGAGAAAATGCGTGCAGCAGCGGCAGCGGCAGTAGCGGCAACAGGGATATAAACATTGGAGAGAGAGATGTGCGGAGAAGACTACGGGATGGTGTTAAATTAAGTTGGAGAGTAAGAATAATAGGCCATTGGACTATTGCGGAGGGTAAATGCGTCGACACTACACCTTCCTTTTGTTATTGTTATTGTTTTTGTTTTTGTTTTTGTTTTTTTTTTTAGAGAGATGCCTTCCTTGTGCAGTGTTTATTATTATTATTATTATTTGAAACCTGCACTGGAATATTTTAAAATATTGTACTTTTTTTGTGGTTGTTGTTGCTGTTGTTTTTTTTCTTGACATTCTGTTCCAACTGCTGCACCCAACCAACCGCCAGCCCTTAACCGAAGGCATGTGCGTGTGCGTGTGCGTGTGCTTTTCGCATTACGACTTCCTTTTTTTTTCTTTTTTCTCTTTTGTCTGTTTGCTTCGGTGGGCTGGTCTGGGAGGCACATCATGGGCACAGTACAATGCGGCGTGTGGAGAGGAGTAGTCGCGGTGAAGGTGAAGATACTTTGGCAACGGGCGAGGCGAATGTCAGGACAGACACAACTGTTGACGTGCTGCGGCGGGCCTCTCGGCACGCGCAGGGGGCGATTGAGACGAGTTGGATGACGACTCGCCGGCTGCAGGTGCAGGGAGAACAGCTGGAGGAGATTGACCGCGCCCTCGACAAGATGGAGCACGACTTGGGCGTCGGTGACGATGCCCTGCGGCGCATGACGTGGACAGGGAGAGTTAAGCGTTGGTTCACGTCAAGGCGGAAGCAGCCGTCGGACGGTGTCGAGTCGTCTACTTCTTCTTCGGTGCCATCGTCCTCCCTTCCGATCAAACCACAAGGACTGCGGGAGAAAAATCAGCAACGGGAGGGAACACGTGGCAGCAAGCGCGACGATGTGATTGGTTGTGGCAGTTCCACGAGCCATATAGCCATGGAGGAGGAAAAACTCTTGGATGCGTTACTGGGCGATGTGCATGCCATGCGAGAGCAGGCCACATTGCAAGGGGCGATGCTCACGGAACACAATCGCCGCCTTGATGTTATAGCGACAAAAACCGACGCGGTTCACAATCATGTGAATCGTACAAAACAGAAGGTGGAAAAAATGCTTTAGGGCTCCCAAAAAAAAAATGCTTTGTTTTTTTTTTTTTTTTTTTTTCTCTCTCTCACTCCTGTTATCACGCATTTAATACTCTCCACGTCGACGCTCTTTACTCTCGGCGTGACTTTTTCTTTTTTTCTTTTTTGTTATTTATTTACTTTTTCCTTTTGGGGCTGTGGCTCCTGCCATTGTCTCCTCGTAACATCATCGATGCGACGTCGCAAGGGCACGCAGAGTGGATTGCATGCGGCTGTGCGGTTTGCTTCGCCATCCGGCGTTGAATTGCACGGCTGTCCATTACGCCCATCACAGCGAGAGTTCGAGGAAGAAGAAGATGAGGAGGAGGAGAGAACAAAAGAGGCGAGCGTCCCATGACACCGTAAGTCTTCGTGACTCGGTCGGCATGTTGATTCCCGAGGCCTGCCTGCGCCGCGATCGACTGTCGCCCGACGCCTTGGATCGCTCCGTTGAGGAGAAGGCGCGTGAGATTCTTGGTCTTGGCGCGGACTCCGCACATGCGTGGGGTCCGTACGGCGCGCAATTTGACAGGCGTGACATCCGCTTTCAAGGAAAGAACGGCGACATGCGTCAATTTGCGGAGATGGCAACGAGAGCTGCATCGATGGAAAAGTGGAGGGGCATGTCGCCGCAAGGCGACGCATTGCTGAAGGACGCCGTTGCCTTTGTTGGAGGAAAACAGCAGAGGCGGCAGTTGTTAGGAACATCTACCGACAATTCCAAGGAGAATTTCAAGTGCGGGAGTGCTCCGATGCTGCAGAGGGTGATGAAACGCTACGGCGGCGATTTCTCTCCACTTGCACATGCCATGGCTGCTGGTGGCGTTGCTGAGGCAAATGCCGGGAATTGTCATGATGATGATGGTGGCGATGGGAATAGCACTCCAATATCGGGGACAAACCGGAAGCCGGGGGCGAAGACGCTGTCGCCGTCAGTGACGGAAGGAAAAAGACGAGTGGAGCGTCGTCAACGTCGGCTTGAGCGCATTTTAAACCGTGAGGGGAATGTGCATCCTTGCGTGTATCAAGGTGGTTGTGCATCAAAAGATGGGGCGGCAATGTGTCCTTTTGTCTTGTATCCTGCAACGGTGTGTGTGGCGTGGCTGCGGCATGGCCGCTGCGACGATGCCCTGCGTGGATGTTGCCCATGGTGGCATGGCTGCGTTGCTGATACCTCCAAGAGAGAAGTAGTCGGAAACCGTCTCTTTTTTGACGCAGGGGATGCAGATTTTGGCGAAGGAGAGTTGCTGCGTGAAAGCTGCACATGGATGGGTACGATCTTGCAGATGTTTCTGGATCTTGTTGTCACCACGGCAGAGCATGCAGAGTTTAGCGTCTCCGATGGTGTCATGTCTGCTGAGACGGTGAGAAGGATTTTTGAAGAACCACCCGGCGCGGTGCGGCGCAACGGGAACCGTCGCACCACTGACATGCCGCTCCAGTACGACCCCGCACGGGATGTCTTTTTGGTCGAGAGAGAGTTGGCGGTGAGTGCCCTCATGACGGAGGAGGGGGTGACGGGGTCGATGCGGTGGAACGACGCACAAACGAGGGAGGAAGAAGAAGAAGAAAAGGATTCCTTCGATGCCATTTTTTTCCACGAGTTGGCGTCTTCCCGGCAGGAAGTCGAGGCGCCGCAGAAAAAATTGGGAAAGACAGCAGAGGAGATGCATGCCACCGCCCAAGGACGCCTTCGCCACGTGCTCGTCACTTTCCGCGGCTACGTAGCTACAGTTGATGCAATCGATAGGTCTGGGGATCGTATTGCCCTGTGCACACCACTCACCCGGTGGCTGCTGCAGAAAGTCGCGGATGAATGCGCCTATCAGAATAATAATAATAATAATAATAATAATAATAATAATAATAATAATAATAATGGCACTATCATGGAGCCAACACCGCAGAGTCTTTTTGAAGAGGCAAGTACCATTTTACTCCATATTTGCCTTCGGAAGTGTAAATTGGGCCACGGGAACGATAAAAACACTCCGGCAGGCTCCCACCGCTGGTCTGGCTTGTTATTGCTGCAGCTCATGTCGCTTCTTACACGTATTCCAGCATCGCGTGAGGCTTCCACCGCTGTGGGGTGTACGGAGGGCTCCTTCCTGTACACGGCGTTGCTGTCGCTCCACATGAAAAGGACCCCTAGCTGGTCTACCGACAATATACAGGCGCGGTATATGAGTTGTTGGGTTTTCTTCCACTCCCTTCTTTCAACACTTGCTTTGTCTCTTTTACGTGAAGGCATTGAACAGTTTGCATTTGCCAGATTGGCCTTGGTGGATGTGGCGCGACAAATTGCTCGCAGGGTCGAGGATCATTTCTCCATGCCGCTTTTGCGAGCCTCCGGGTGGTCAGCATGGACGGACGAGCAAATGTTTGCATCACATCAGAAGAAGGCGTACACCGCCGTGGACTACGCGCGGTTCCACATGCCTGTTACCGCTCATTGTTTTATGGCGTCTGTTATGAACACATTTATGCTCCACATCCTGAGGGAGGCCACACGTCTGTATCAACCGCGTGTGACTCCTGTTGCCGCCGTGCTTTTTGGGAAAAACCGGGATTTGGAATCGCCGCAGGAATGCATTCGATGGGAGCGGTGTCTTCGAGGAGGTGGTGGTGGTCTCACGGTACGAAGAGGCGTGCAACCGTATGCGTGTGAGGCCTTGGCGGTCCTCTCGTGTCTGCATGACGAGAACAAAGCGGTTCTGGCGCGACGGCAGGAATTGATGGAGGAGTTCATGACACGACGGGTGGAGTATCGAGAACGCACAGCGAAAGAAATTGCACGCCGTCGAAAAAACAGCGGTACTAACCAGCCGAATCTATCAAATAGCACGCAACCCGCCGAAGGTGATGAATTCCATGTTTTTGAGAAGTTGTTACCGTCCGCTTCTGTCATGGTCTCTGCGGATGTCTTCAGCTTCTTGCTCCCTGTGTTGTTCATGGGAGGTGGGGCGTACAAGGCACTACGGCTTGCTTCGTCAGCGATCCACGCCAGCAGAATGTTGCGACACGCAGCAAAGCAGCCCATGCCGTACCTTGTACAGGGTGAGAAGACTATCCACAGGCGGGTGCGAAACGGTAGGACTGGGCGAAAGCAAATCGTCCGCGTCCGCGTTCCTGTGCTGCGCGTCGTTGACGCTGAGGCAGATGAACGGGAACGCAACGGCGCCGGTGCACGCCCCGTTGGCATTTACATGCAGCTCAGTGAATATGTTTTGGCGGAAATAGCAAGAATGGGTATGCGAATGGGGACTGCCGGCGCAAAGCTTGTGCGTGGGGTGTGTGAGGACAGTGTGCGCGGCATGCTGGTGGACTATGCTGCAGGGCGATGTTTTCCCTCACCAGACGCAGCTGATGTACACAGCGATGGTTCCATCACAGCCGCCTTTGGTGCAAAGGTACTAAAGGCCATTTTGTTATTTGCTGGTGTCAATGATCATGTCGGTGGTGGTGGTCATGATCTTATGCAAAAAACAAGTCAAGTGGCGGGTCTTGCCGTCCTTGAGCGCCGCATTCCACCAACGGCGCTCTTATTGGAGATTGTTGTGGCCCTAACGCCAACCAAAAACCGCGAGGCGCACACTTTGTATCAGCGTATCTGCAGCATGGACCCGAGAACCCTCGTCACCGATCGGGTGTTATTGGCGCAGCACTATCATGCTGCCCGACATCACTTTGGGCGTGCAAGTAGTGTGGCCGCCGCTGTATGGCTCGATTTCATTCGCACAGGTGCGACATCGCTGTCGCGCCCCTCCACTATCATCCTGCAGAAGGAAATAGAGCAGCTGCCCGCTCCCGTGGAGTTTGGGGAGGAGCCACTGGTGGCCGAGCCTCATCATCACCATCGTGAGAGGACGCCGGCACCACGCACAGTGAAGGAGCTGCGGGATTGTCTGGAGCAGTCGGGAAAAGAAGGCGCTGTCGTCTCCACCACCAGTCGATATCGCGGCGGCTACACAACATACGTGGCGCAGTCTCTCGCGGCGCACGCCACGGACACCATTGCCCTACGCCGGATGCGGTGGGCCCTTTTGGCCAGCACGCTTCTTGCCGTCACACATGACAGGCTCACGGGAACGCAAGGCGTTTGGCCTCGACTGCTGCTCCGCAATACTTTCATAATGGCCATTCAAGCCACCAGCCTTCAAGAACGCGAGCGGGACACGCAGGCGACTGTGCGTGTCTTCCTTCTTACTGATATTTTTAGTCCTGTCACTGCCGCAGTGGAGAAGTCGGACGAAGACGTACTGCTGTGGTGCTCCGACAATGTGCGGAACCTGCCGCAGTACCTCGCAGCTCAGATACGGCTAGCGGAAGAACTGCAGACGCATCCACAAGACGGTGAATTCATGGACAAGATCCGCCTCGGTCTGCAACTCTTGCCTCTCTTTAAGGCCTCCATGGGCCTGCAAGAATACGATACCACACAAACGAATGCATGGCGCCTTCTGGAGCCATTCCTTGGGCACCCGGAGCTGGCGATTGCATGGTTGCACGAATCCCTCTTTGGTGTTTCGCGTTCCCTCCTCATATGGATTACCGCACACGTCGATACAAAAGACCAGCAAGCTGCCTTCTCTCTCGCCGCGTGGACGATACTCCTTTACTACAACCAAGCTGTAGATGATGCAGTGAAGCATGCCGTACTCCAAGCGGTCTGCAGGAAACTTACAGCCGAAAAATCACAAAGAATAAATGAATGGATGCATATTGCCGGAGAAAAATCCAATAACTACCGTAAAAATTTAAGCTAAACAACATGCATACATACTCTCGTATACATATATATATATCAACATATCTTTATTATAAAATATCAATTCAGCAACATAAAATTTTCACATAATACTCATTCATGCAAAACAATAACTAATCACCAACCCTTTACACAGACTCTACAAAGATACCAAATCTCACACCAGGAAAAAAAAAAGGAAATAACAACAAAAAACAAACAAGGAAACAAACAACCAAACAAGCAATGAGCTACAAGGAGGCATCTGGCGCTGTGGGCCCCGCGGACCAGCAGCAGCCGGCGGTGCCGGAAGTGACCGATGTCACGCTGGAGGCTGCGCGCAAGCAGAAGATCCACAACCTGAAGCTGAAGACCTCCTGCCTGTCGAACGAGGAGTTCATCCAGGACCTGCACGTGTCGGACTGGAGCGAGACGCAGAAGCAGAAGCTGCTGGCAGCTCACGAGAAGGCGCAAGAACTTCTGTCGTCGGTGGAAGGCGGAACGAAGTGGAACCTGACGGAGGCGTACGACATCAAGAAGCTGATGCGCGTGTGCGGGCTGCAGCTGTCTGTGCGCGAGCTGTACAAGCCGGAGGACAAGCCGCACTTCATGGAGGTGGTTGCGCTGAAAAAGACGCTGAACGAGCTGAAGCAGCACCACAACAAGACGCGCACCGTCTCCTTCACCGGCACGATTGACAATGCGATCGCGAAGCTGGAGAAGATCGAGGACGAGCTGCGCCGCTCGCAGCTGGACGCGTCGGAGATGGCGCAGGTGCCGGTGGCCGTGCTGAAGAACCTCGAAGAGTGCATGAACGTGACCGTTGTGCAGACGGCGCTGCTCGGCAACGAGGAGCAGATCAAGGCGCAGCTTGCGGCGATCGAGAAGGCGAAGGAGATCCGCAACGTGGCGATTGCCGACGGCGAGATGGCGATTGCGGAGGAACAGTACTACATCAAGGCGCAGCTGCTGGAGCATCTCGTGGAGCTGGTGGCCGACAAGTTCCGCATAATTGGACAGACGGAGGACGAGAACAAGCCGTTTGGTCGCATCCAGGATGTGCAGAAGAAGTCGTTTCAGGAGACATCCGCGATAAAGGACGCGAAGCGACGGCTGAAGCAGCGCTGCGAGGACGACCTGAAGAACCTGCACGACGCGATCCAGAAGGCGGACATGGAGGACGCGGAGGCGATGAAGCGCTTTGCGACGCAGAAGGAGAAGTCGGAAAAGTTCATCCAGGAGAACCTCGACAGGCAGGACGAGGCGTGGCGCCGCATCCAGGAGCTCGAGCGTGTCCTGCAGCGTCTGGGGACGGAGCGATTTGAGGAGGTGAAGCGCCGCATTGAGGAGAACGACCGCGAGGAGAAGCGCAAGGTGGAGTACCAGCAGTTCCTGGATGTATGTGGGCAGCACAAGAAGCTGCTGGAGCTGTCGGTGTACAACTGCGACCTGGCGATGCGATGCATCGGGATGATGGAGGAGCTGGTGGCGGAGGGCTGCAGCGCAATCAAGTCGCGCCACGACAAGACGAACGAGGAGCTGGCGGACCTGCGGCTGCAGGTGCATCAGGAGTACCTGGAGGCGTTCCGCCGCCTGTACAAGACGCTGGGCCAGCTGGTGTACAAGAAGGAGAAGCGCCTGGAGGAGATTGACCGCAACATCCGCACGACGCACATTCAGCTGGAGTTTGCCATCGAGACGTTTGACCCGAACGCGAAGAAGCACTCGGACGCCAAGAAGGAGCTGTACAAGCTCCGCGCACAGGTGGAGGAGGAGCTGGAGATGCTGAAGGACAAGATGGCGCAGGCGCTGGAGATGTTTGGCCCGACCGAGGACGCGCTGAACCAGGCCGGCATTGAGTTTGTGCATCCCGCCGAGGAGGTGGAGGACGGCAACCTGACCCGCCGCAGCAAGATGGTCGAGTACCGTGCCCACCTGGCGAAGCAGGAGGAGGTGAAGATTGCGGCGGAGCGCGAGGAACTGAAGCGCTCCAAGACACTGCAGAGCCAACAGTACCGCGGCAAGACGGTGCAGCAGATCACACAGTAACCTGTGTCCGCCGGTGTCACCCAGCGCTGTTGCTGTTTTCCCCATT